GGAAGGATCAAGATGAGCAAGACGAGATCTTTCAGTAGCTGTTGGAAAATTTTCTGGAGTAAGGCATTCAAGATCTATCTCATTTCCAGCATACATCATGACAATAGGGCTATGGAGGTCAGCAGGGTTAATCGTTATAAATAGAGTAGGTGTACCATCACGCACAATAACAGCACGTATTTCATTGCGCATACAAACACGTGACTGACAGGATGCCATTAGTTTTGACCCAGCAGCATTTACATTTCTGAGAAGCTCATTAATTGCAGGGTTTGATATATTTTGTTTATTTAGTTCTTGCTCAATAGCCAGTTTTATATCTTGTGGTTTTAGAGTAGTTATTAATTTTGCTGATCGTTCAAAATTTTTATTTCTAGTTAAATTATAAGATTCCGTTGATACTTCTCGACGTTGTAAAACATCAAACAGTACAAAAGGAAATGATCTATGCTGCCTTAACTTTGGATCACGATGACGCATTAAATGGTTAGCATATTTTTTTAATGATACATGCGCTAATCTGCCTTCGTGACCTCCAACTCCATATGGATAAAGAACCAGAAATCCTGCAGGAAAAAGTGACAGATCTTCATATTCATTTAAAGGTTTGTTACTGTGGGGTACACAGATTATATGCGATTGATAGAGATATTTTCTGGTATGTTATAATTTTTTGAGGATATTTGTTCATTGGGTTGTGGATTGGATTTGTCCATTAATTTTTGAAGAGAGAGTAGGGTAAGCTCTCTTTTAGTGACTAGCACATCATCAACATGCAATATTCCAGATGGTCTAAGCTCGCTCGCACTATCGATAGAATTATTAACAATAAAGTTTTTTATATATTGAGTATCGTGATCAGGTACTTCATTATCATCACTTTCGCTATCTGAATAGCAGTTATTTGATAAGTCATTTGGAGTATGACCTGTATAATGTTCTGTTTCTCGAGGATCAATATCTACAACTGTGGTGGTTATAAGTAGGGGTTCGGGAATATCTCCTTTGGGTAAAATATTTAAAGCATTTTCATCAATTACGAACTTATCACTAAATAATTTATTATGTTCAAAAAGCCATCGAAGCGCGATTATTATTTTGCTTTTTCGAACTTGGAGTATTTTTTTTAGTTAATGATTAACAGGGGAACCTTTTCCAACAAAGACTACCTTTAAATATTTAGCAAGACGATACATAGGTAAAGGTAATATATTCGTCAATGATCCAGGATTTTGTGGTAATGTTATAATATGACCTTTAAGTTTGTGATAGGTATGCTTTTTTTTAGTTAACTGAACGAGATTCATACATGGATATCTAGGCAAAATAAGAATTTGTTCTGGGATAGTTAATTCCTGAAGACACGGTGGTGTAGGACCAATCCACATGTTATTGGCTAAGGATAGTAGTGGTGTCATATGTTTCTTTAAAGAATCGTAGCAAGTATTACAAATTCGTAATTGAAATGGGTCGTTAGGATCTATAGGGTCATTATTAATTTGACATTCGGATGAATAAATAAATCCAGATTGATCCAGAAGAACATTTATTCCACTATTATCTATATGAGGGTGTTTATACTTAAAATCAATTTTAAATGATAGATTTAGAAGATCAATCAGCGCTTTAAGTAAAGAAAGATCAATGTTATGAACGGAAATTTTTTTATAGTTTTTAAAATTGTGAAGTCCTGAGCAAACAGCACGAAGTAATTCGCATAACTCATTAAGACTAATTTTATCTCGAAATTCAGCTAACGCATTTTTCAATATTTCAGGATTTATTAGTTGAGGCCACGTTGTAAATTGTTCAAGTGTCATTTCAAATTCACGATCCATATCTAGAACACATGAAGAAATACTTAAATTTTTATTTTGAAGATTACTCATATTCTTTTTTACCTTCCGACATTTGTTTTGTAAATCATTAGATATTCTAACATAGTTTGGGTCTTGTCGAAGTCTTGCCATATATTGTCGAGATTTATTATTTCCTAAATTCTTAAATTGAGAGTCCTTACATTGATCTGCTTTACGTTCACGTTCTTTTCTTTTTCTAGCTTCTCCTCGAGTTTCTACAGGATTCATAGCATTTTTTGATTATGATTTATTATGATCTGGAAAAATGAAGATTTTATAAGCTAATTAGAAATTTATTCAGAGCAGGAGTTAAAAAAAGTAGTTTGTGTTTCAATTTTCAGTGAACTCTTTTTATAGCTTCATAGCAATAAATATAACTCACTGTCTAAGAATGGTTCGATGTTTTAAGTAACATAACGAGTTAACTTACAAAGGAAGCTTATTCTATTAGTGAGAAGGCATTCTAATTTAATACATACTATATTATTTTGTAACATTGTTCTAGAATTAATCGATTGCTTAATAAGGTAAAAAACATTTTAACGCCATATTTAATTCTACAAGGTTAATTATCATTGTTTCATTATTAATTTAGACTATCTACAATTAACATCGATTTAATATATACTGCATTATTTTATAACATTGTTC